CATATAAATTTTAATAGAAAATAAAATTATGAAACTAATGGTTTCTGGAAATGACTCTATATAGTGTTCTTAGACTTGACATTAAAAGTATCATCTATTAAAAGATAGAAAAAAATACTTTATTAAAAACTTTAAATTTTTTGTCAGGTTACAAGTAAGTGCTTTTAATCTCAGCACTCAAAAGGCTGAGGCAGGGGAATCACCACGAACTTACATGTATCCTGGGCTACACAGTGAGATCCTGTCTTAAAAAAAACTGAAATAACAAAAAAACAGGAAAATTAAAAAAATTCTCTCTTCAAAAGAACCTAGAAGGAATTAAGGCATTTTATGTACATTTGCCAACTCCCCGTGATAATTTTAATCACTGTGCCCTGCCAGCATATAGTAATGAAAAATATACATAAAGCGTGAAAATGCAAGCAAAAGACTGAGAGGACACATTTCCAAGTCATGTATCTGACTAGTAAGGAGAGTGTATAAATGATTCTCAAGGTCAATAATCACTCAAAAATTAAAAAGTGAGTACAAATTACAAAGTGACACTTCACGAGTATCTATGGATAGTACATAAACACATGAGGTGATGCTGAATTTTCCTAGTCATTGGTAAATATAAATTAAGATTGATTATGGAAAAAAAGGGTAGGTCCTGACATTTATCTCAGCTAAATAAATGCATATTCACACAAAAGCCTACACACAATTGTTCATATCAGATTTTATCTGTGGCAGTCAAAATCAAAATCAAATCATTTTTCAGTTGGTACAGAGGGAAACTGGTACAGACATATCATGAAATACTGCTGAACAGCAGAAGAAAGTGAGTTATTGATACAGTCCTATAGACATGGGTGTACTTTGAGAATGTCCAGCTGAGAAGCAGCTGATCTCAAAACATTTGCAGACTGTATAATTCTATTCATATCATGTTCTGGGCATAAGGAAATTTTGGAAATGAAAAGGAAATTACTGGTTGCTGGAGGTCAGTAGTATTATGGAAGAAAGGGATGAGAATGTAATGGAATCATTTCATATTTTAATGACAGTGGCAATTTTATGAATCCGCAGATGTGATAAATTGGAATGAAATTAAACAGACATGCTGTACCAGTGATGGTTCTCCAGTTTTAGTATCATGACATACTGTAGTTGTACAAGATATAACTGTGGAGAAAAGTGGGTGAGAGTACATGGTATCATTTTGTCCTCTCTTTCAAGTTTCTGGGAACCTATAATACAATTTCAAAAAAGAAATTGGGAGGAAAATTGAACAGGAAAAAGATTACTGACACAGATATCAGATATCATCTACCATATCTTTGGCAGTGAGAGATTTAAGTCAGTTGACTTAGATTTCATTTTCACCACCAGTAGACTCTAGCCCTCCCTAAATTTCCAATAAGTTCTCAAAACTCTCCTTTCTTCATGCTTTTCTGTCTTTCTACATACTTGTGTTATTTTACTGCTTGTTTGCCCTACAAACAACTTGAGTACAAATCTTTGTTGCAATTTACACACTCATAAAAAAACATTGGAAGGGTTTACATGGAATTTCTCAAGATTTATGAGCCAGAGGAGGAATTTACAAAGCTTACACCTTTTTTTTTTTTTTTTTTTTTGGCTAATGTTGCTTTTCCCTTTATATCCTTGAAACTTTTCCATATTCCACCAAAGATTCTGAATTAGTTACTTCTCTTTTTTTAAGTAGATTTGGATTCTCAAAGCTCCAGGGACATCCCATTTACAGATTTTGTGTCCCTGGATTCTACCTCAAAATTTTAAAGAAGTATTTTCCTAATAAGAATGGTACTTCCATCACTGAAATGTTACACTGTTGATATAATTATACTTTCATGTTTTCCTGTTATATGTAATATAATTTATTTTGAAACCAACCATCTTATACCTTCCTAGTAATGCACCTCTAAAGTTATTACAGTAATGTGATTTCAATTACACTTTATATCCTACATAGCATATTTACTGAAGAACAACTACTTTATCTTCTCACCAAAATTGCAAGAGTCTAGGTTTAAAGATTGTAAATCATAAATTTCCAGAACAATTTTACTTACATTTAGTCATTTTATACCTCTTATTAGTATCTTCATTCATGAAGTCTTGTGTCCCAAATATTTTACTCAAAATTATTGTCAGCACATGCATAAAACATCTTTTGGGAGTCAATTGGGTATATTATTTCTCTGCTTTAAGTAAAAATGGGCACTTTGTTTTATATTTTCAACTATAAAATATGTCCAAAAATTTTATTAAGGAGCCACTACATGTTACCACTCTTGATGAGAACTTCAGAGTGATCCTGAAACATTTTTTGAAAACATATTTAATTCATAACATTCTTGTGGCAGGGACTAGTAATCCATGACATTCATTCTTTCTTTTGGTGATAGATTCCAATAATTTTTATTTAGAGTGTGGTTCTAAGGAATTAAGATCACATCATTGTGCTTCCCTTAACAGCTGTAAAAAGTCCATATGTTGACAGTCTGGCCAGTGAGATGCAATAAAAATTTATGTGAAATTTTGAGAAAATGTTTTCAAAAGAATGTAACATTCCTCCTTCATCTCTTTCTTGTTTACATAGACCAAAACATAGATAAGTCTGGGGCTTGACTAGTTATGTGTTGAAGTTGGGAAAACAAAAAAATAGAGTCTGGTCTCCTGTGATTTTAAAGCTGTATTCATCAGCTTTCCCATTGCCAGACACAATACCCAGCACTCATAACTTAAGGGAGGAGAGTTTTAATTAAGCTCATATTTTAAGGAGATTCAGTTGCTCAATGGTTGTCCTGCTCCCAAACAGGACCATCACAAGGGAAGGGTATGATGAGGTGTCTGGGAGGCAGAGCATAAGAATAGGAAATAGCCAGAGAGGAAAGGGTCCCAAGTCATATTTAGAACCCAAGAGCACATCTCCATGACCCAGGCAGACACATCCAGAAGTGTGCACCATGAATGCCCTGGGCAGATCTCAAAGCAATCAAGTTGTTGCAGTTAAGTTTAACCATCATGCCCACCTTGTACTCTCAATTCTGGCTACTACTTTTATTGCTGGTATTGTATTCATTTCTTTGTTTCACTTTCAAATTAGTTTCAACTCTGCAGAATTTAATAAATGGACATAGGGTAATAAATGTGGACACCCGAAAAATATGTCACAGCCTGAGAGAACCAGCAGTGAATGGTAAAGCTCCCAACATTGAGGGTGAACATCTGCTGCCCTTCCTAAAGGATGAGAAATATAAGATCAAACTCATGTCTAGTGTTCCTAAGAAAACCACAGGCAGATTTATCATTAGAGAAAATGATAGAGGAAAAATTTTGGTTGCTTTGTCCACTTTCTGCAATTCCCTACAAAGTGAAAGTGGAAACAAATCCACTGACTTGCTGAAGAACTCTGTGCCTACAACTGAAGTATAATAAAGACCTGCAACTTGTATTCTTCCAGGTTTAAACAGCCCAGTGATTTACTACCCTGTACTAGAGGTGTTCTACGAGGTGTTAAAAAGTACACTAAAAAAATTAGTAACATAAGTGTACTGACGACATTGCTGGTATCACCAGTAGTAACTTGTTACTAAGTACATTTTTAAAGATTGTTTTAAGTCAGAAAACATCAATTTGAGGGTAGTAATAAATTAAACAAAACATCAATAAATGCAGAGCCCTTTGAATTAAGTGCAATTTAACAGAAGGTTTTCTGAATGTTTGAATAGCTACAGATTTTCAAGGCAAATCAAGATTCTGTCATGAATCCCAACCACTTTTTTTACATAAATGCTACCTTTTCTTATATATCTGCTTTGGCAATGTTCAGTGGATTTACAAGAATGTTTAGTGTATGCTCTACTTTTTAAAGAAGCACCCTCAATATTCTTCTTTGTTGACTTAACATTTTGATACTGTCTCTTCT